CTTGTAATGAATTCTTAATTATCTCATCCATTTGAGTATAAAGTCCTTCAATTAGAGTTAATTTTCCACCAATCAAGTTAATTCGGTTATGGGGGTGAGCGGGGGTGAGTTGAAGGAAATTAGTTTTATGTCAAGTGCGTAACATGATTATAGGCTAAAATTTTGTGAGGAAATCAATGGTGTATTTGATTTTAATGAAAAATGTTAATTTCAACCCTTAATTAGCAATTAACTCAAAAACAAACAAATTGAAGTGCAATACATGACTTTATAGGGTAAAATTTGAAGCCCAAGCGATTGCCAGCATCAATTTTGCGCTATCAATTTAATTTCATCCCCTAAATTGAAATATAATGATGTTCACACAAATTTTAGAGCGAGACATGTTTAAATGGTAAAATTTGACACCAAATCGTTTGCCAGAAGTTATTTTGCTCTAAAAAAATAATTTCAACCCCTAATTTGAGATTATGTGAAGTAAACAACAATTTCAGAGCGAGACATGTATAAATGGTAAAATTTGACGCCAGATCGTTTGCCAGAAGTTATTTTGCTCTAAAAATTTAATTTCAACCCCTAATTTGAAATTACTCAAAATTAACAACAATTTCAGAGCGAGACATTTTTTATTGGTAGATTTCAAAGCCAGGCCGATTGCCAGGGAAAATTTGGAAAATTCTACTTACTTAATAAAATTTCATCCCCTTATTCGTAATATTATGGAATTAACAACAATTTAAGAGATATAGTTGCTTTATGTATGTAATTTTAATGCTAGATCGATTTTCAAATGTTATTTTGCACTTAATTTGCTTACAATTTTAATTTCAACCCCTGATTTCCTTATTTATTAACTTATGTTTGATTTTTTTAGTTAAGTATGGCAATCAATGTGGCTCTAAATTCGCTAAATTCAACTCATATCAACAAGTCTCGCTCTTAAGTTGTTGTTAATTTCATATAATTTCAAATTAGGGGTTAAAATTATTTTTTAGAGCAAAATAACTTCTGGCAAACGATCTGGCGTCAAATTTTACCATTTAAACATGTCTCGCTCTGAAATTGTTGTTAATTTCGTGACATTTCAAATTAGGGGTTGAAATTAAATTTTTAGAGCAAAATAACTTCTGGCAAACGATCTGGCGTCAAATTTTACCATTTATACATGTCTCGCTCTGAAATTGTTGTTTATTTCACATAATTTCAAATTAGGGGTTGAAATTATTTTTTTAGAGCAAAATAACTTCTGGCAAACGATTTGGTGTCAAATTTTACCATTTAAACATGTCTCGCTCTAAAATTTGTGTGAACATCATTATATTTCAATTTAGGGGATGAAATTAAATTGATAGCGCAAAATTGATGCTGGCAATCGCTTGGGCTTCAAATTTTACCCTAAAGTCATGTATTGCACTTCAATTTGTTTGTTTTTGAGTTAATTGCTAATTAAGGGTTGAAATTAACATTTTTCATTAAAATCAAATACACCATTGATTTCCTCACAAAATTTTAGCCTATAATCATGTTACGCACTTGACATAAAACTAATTTCCTTCAACTCACCCCCGCTCACCCCCATAACCGAATTAACTTGATTGGTGGAAAATTAACTCTAATTGAAGGACTTTATACTCAAATGGATGAGATAATTAAGAATTCATTACAAGCACCAATTATAATGATTCAGAAGCGGAAACAAAAAGTGGCACTTTTATTAAAACGACGTTCGTATCACGTATGAAGCACGTTTGGTGCTCGTAACGAGTTGCACGTAAACGTACTACGTTTTGGAGAATTGGAAACCACTGTCGGCACTCGTAATACGTTTACGGAGTACGTTTTGGCGAATCGGAAACCGCTTTTACGTTTTGCTGTACTCGGATTCCGTTTACGTGTATCGTTTTGGTGAATTGGAAACGGCTTATACGATTTCCTTGGCAAAACGAACAACGTAATGCGTAAACGAATAACGTAATGGCGAATTGGAAACCAGCCATAGAAAACTACGTAAATAATTAAACAAAATATTATGTTATATTAAATTTCTTAAATAAATTACAAAATTACTTAAATTAATTTGTAAAATTTTAATAAAAAAAAACTTAATTGTAATAATAAATTTATGTCTTTCTTAAAAACCAACGTGTTTCTTCTTTAAGATAATCAGTAATTTATCAGCAAAATATCATGGTTTCTAAGTATAATTTGTAAAATAAAAACTAAAATTCTACTAGGTAAAGCCAATTGTCCATTTATTACATTTCAACACATTTTAACACAGCTAAAATATAACTTTCTCAAATTTGAGGGAAGATCAATGAATAATTTCGAAAATAAAATTACTGTTATAAGAAGCGAAATGAAGCAAAAAATTAAATCAATACTTTGAAACGTCTTTCAAAGGTTTAAATAACTGTTTGGCTGCAAATTAATCTCAAAAGTCAATAATTACTGCCATTTCAAAGTGAAGAGCCGCGGCTCTGAATTTATCTCGAAAACGAGCGAAATCAAAGTGAGCCTCGGTGGTCCGGACGGGCTGAGCCCTGAGAGCACATATGATAATTTATTGGTGGAAAGTGGACCCTCGCCGGCGGTCCCTGAAGACCACCTCTGACATGGGCAAGTGACGGTGGCAAACGAAGATCATTATGCGCGTGGTGCGTTGCCATGGCGACATTATGAGGTGCGAGGGTGGACGCCAGATTGTAATATGCTGATTGAAGAGAGAGGGCGTAATTTGGTCCAGCGAGAGGGTGGCGGTTCATGCTGATTTCAAACGGGCGCCGAGCAATGATTGCGTTTGCGGTGAAAATAAGCATTCGAAAAATAAAAACGAAAAAGCGGAAAAGGTTTTCAATTAAAATGAAAATTGAATTTGTTTTGGCTTGATCGTTACTTTCTGAGACATTATTATAACTTTTCAATTGATTATTTTAATTGTGTTTACCCGTTAATTATTCAGGTTTTTGTTGTGTCATGTGAAAATACATTTGGAAAAAAATCAATATGAAAGCACTTAGTGCAATTGCGTCTAACTTAATTTGCTGATCAATCATAGAGTTTAGTCAGTCGAGTGAATTTGACTCGGAGAAATCTTGTAATTTTTTCCCAGTTGAAAATTTAGCTAAAACGTTTGAAAATGGCGTCAGATGTTTTAGAAGAAGCTCTTTATTGGCACAATCTGCCTGCAACAATATTAGGTTTCTACAGACCACGAAATTTTTGCAAAACCTTTACTTTTTATTACAGTGCAGTGCTTCTCTCTCTTTACATCTGCGGACTTGTGTTTTTGTTTCAAATTTACATTGAAACGATGCCATCAACCGGATATTTCACGATTTTGACTGCCGAAATAATGGAAAAAGTGGCCTCAATTTTTCTTCTAGTGACATTTTTGCATCACATTGTTTGTAATCAGTCTCAGATAATTAAGATTAGAGTGTTTTTGAGTGGAATTGTAAGAAGTCTTCGATGTGATAATGAATTTAAGAAGTGCATATCTAAAAAATCACTCTGGATGGCTGTGATTTTGTACGGGATTCAAGGAGCATTTAATTTGTTCAAACTTACAAAATTGTTCGATGGTACTTTATTGTACAAAATTGACAGCATTTTATTTTCAATCGTTCTTTTTTCTCTGGAGTTTGTGCAAAGCAATTTTGTACTGATTGCAAATTCTGTCGGCTTTTTGTTTCATTTTGTGAACAAAACGATAATTCTAAACGGAATTCCTCTGAGCGAGTTGCGAAGAAAGCATGTCGAGATATGCGAAGTTCTTGAACAAATCAACCGAACTTATCAAACCACAATTCTCTCTTCGGAGTTGTGTCTTTTCACGATATTGGTGTATCTGTTCTACATAATAATCGTGGAAATGTTCATTCAGCAAAACTTCTCATCGGCCGTCGTTGGATTCGGAATAATTTTGCAACCATTTTTATTTATTTTTTTCTTGCTAGGAAGTCACGTGTTCTTTGTAAACGCGAGTGAAAGGGTTGTAAACGAGGTACAAAGCCATGAAATTTATAACAAAAAGTTAATAAACTTTTGATGATTTACAGGGAAAAGCCACGAGTAACGCTTTAGTTAAGTTGGAACTTCAAGGAATCTCTGAAGATATTCAAGAAGAGGTATAAAAAAAGATAATCTTTTATATTTTAAATTAATAGTCACTCGAATATTCTTTCCTATATTGCTTGTTGAGCTACAAAATTATCATCAAATAAGCGGAACTCATTCAGTTATTAAAAAAAGTACTAGTTTTAGTTAATAAGAAATTTAAAACTTAATAAATGCAGGTTCATCATTTTATCTTGATGCGTTTTAAATTTTAAGGTAAAATTATAGATATCAATAAAATTTTGGCGACGTAGATGCACATAAACCAACAAAATTTGGTTTAATCAAAATGAAAATCAAAATTTAAGTTCCAAAACATGTTTTTTTTTTCAAATAGTAATTGCGTGTTTCCAAATATACTAATTAGCATAATAAATTATTTAAAAAATAAAAGATAAAATTAATTTAGCCCGTTGTGTTTAATTTTAGTCTATTTCTTGAACGAGCAAAATTTAAAATTATTTATAAAGGTTATAAAGTTTATTTATAAACACTTTAAAATTTTTAGGTGAATTTGTTCAAAGAGCAACTGTTGCATTACCAAAAATTATTGCACTTCAACATTCACGGCATGTTTGACGTCAGCCTTGCGCAATGTTTTGTGGTGAGACATAAAAATTAAAAAAATCGATGGTAAATCCTTTAAGGACGCAATGTGTTGCAGATGATGGGAGGCATTGTGGCCTATGTCATCACGTTCATTCAGTTCCACTTGTTCGAAATTACCTTGAGAGCGGAACAACAAGATCGATAATCATTTACAAAACCCCTTAATACTGGTAAAAGGCAATTTATCATGTTCTTTGTTTCCGCCCCTGAACGTTTTGTGATCAATCCAATGTCAAGGTAACGCGACAAAACTGATGAAAGATTCTACTCACCGCAAGAAGTGTGTTTTTTCATTGACCACGATGGACCTGTCGCAGGCGCTGCTCTTTTCGGACGGCCTGGCCACTCTGCTCGGACTGAAATGCCACTTCGCGACCGGCGCCAAACGGTCTGTCAACGTTGTCTACTGCATCGTAGGCTTGACCTTCAAGATATTGGTCAGCGTGTTGTGTCTGCGAGGCGTGTTGCAGCACCTCTTCTCCGACGGCCTCAACGTCACCAACATGGTCCTGCTCGCCTCCTACAAATTCACCTCGGTGCTGCTCTTCCTCGGAGTAATTTTCTTCCACCTGAAAAAACACGCAGCCTTCGTGAATATCTATCATTCTCTTTCGAACGAGGCGATCAATTTGGGATGTTTCCAAGCGTTGTTCGCATTCCTCAAATTTTACTCCGCCTGTGTCGGAATAATCGCGGCGATCGTAATCTGGGGATTGTTTTGGTTTCAAGCGACGCAGCTGAGCTTTGGCTACTCAATCGACTTAGCTCATTCCGCGCTCACTTTTTACGCGTGCGTTTACTTCGAATTGAAATTTGCACTCGTGGCCAAAACCACGGAATTTTTATTCAAAGAAATCAATTTGAACATTTGCGCTGCGAAAAATAGTCCGAAATGGGTGGCTGAAGTTTTTCCAGCTTTGAGAAAAACGCATAAAAATTTGTACGCGGCCACCGAAGAGGCCAATTCGACATTTCAGCTTTTGTTGATGCTGACGGAAATTTTGCAATTCCAAGTGATGATCTACTCGGGGTACATTTTCATCATCGACTGCTGGGACTTGGAAGACAAGTTCACCAAATTAAAAATCAAAATCTTGATCGCCTCTGCCGCATACTGGATCGCAATCATCTCCAATTATATTCATTTGGTGTCAGCATGTTCAAATTCATTATCAACGGTAAAAATTAAATTGTTGTGGAATGACACAATGTTTGTAATTTATAAAATTTAAATGTTTCTTCAGGCGCAGGAAACTGCAAGCAAATTATTGAGAGTTGAAGTGGAGACCACAAATGATGTAATACGAGAAGAAGTAAGCTTTAAATTTAATTAAAATTTTAAATGTGTTATTTGCATAAATTTTGAAAATTACAGCAAATTACTTATGTGTTCTTCAAATTTTTAAAGACGAGAGGTTTAGATGATAATTAATCAAATTTTCAAGAAAAATGCCGTTTCTTGAGTGCCCAGTATGTTTTAGGAAGAATAATAATTTATGTTGAGCAAAAAAAAAATTTTTACAATTACTCAATTTTCCTGGCGCGTGTCTACTTATTCTCAAAAAATGGTTGATAAATTACCACTTTCTTATTTTTTCCCCTCAAATTTTACAGAGTAAGGGAAATTATTAAGAAAACAATGCAAAATATTTGGTTTTCTAAGCATTAAAAGTTTAATTTACTATGAAAAAAGTTGTTTTTTTTTTGTTTTTTTTCTATTGTATTTTCTCCACATACAATATTATATCTTTCTTATTTGATTTTTTAGGCAGCACTATTTCGAACTCAAATTCTCCACTACAAGCACTTTACTTTCAACATTTTTGGACTGGTTTGCATAAACAAAGCCTACGTTTTTATGGTGAAAAATAATTTTGTTGTCTTTTTTAAGTAAAAAAAATAAACCATTTGTTTTAGGTTTTTGGTGCGTTGACGACCTATTTAGCCACTCTTGTTCAGTTTCATTTGCTTGCATCACAATTTGCAGAGTAATTTAAAAAAAAATTCAACCTTTTTTAATTTGAAAAGTTCCACAAAGAACATACGTGCATGCACTCGATGGCAAACGAAGGCTGGTGGTGATTCGCTCTCATAAATTCAGATGCCGATTGGAAGGATTCGGCGGGCAATTTGTATGCTAATAAAAGGAATTCTGCTTTTCTATCAATAAATTTGCATAAATCACATTACCCGAGTGCTGTTTTAATAATGAGGCCGCGCCGAGTTTAATCACGGCGGCGGCGGCTCGCCGAGCAACGCCACAAAGAATTATTTATCTTGCTCGCCTCACTTCTGCCTTTTTCTTCCGCGCTCCCCAAAGTACTAATTTTTGATATTAATTTATTCAAATAAGAAAAATTTATGCATAAGCAAATTCTACAACTCGCTCTCCGCGCATCGAAAACAAACTCAATTCTCTCGGCAAATACTGAATTTATATAATGTTTTCCATATTAATTAAGTCTCGCGCTGCCTCCGCGTTTTAATAATTGCGTGCTGGGTGGAATATTTTAAAATATACATTTTCCAGTTTCAAGGAGAGAGGCACAAACAAACCCAAATAACAACTGATAGAATTTTTACTGCGATTAAATAAGATTCCGAAAAGAGGGGGTACAAAAGTTAAACCACCCCTGCTTGTATACAAAAGTAGCTGCAACACCGAGGGCGGTTTCTTTTGTTTTCTCGAACGGAACCCCCTGCTTTAGATAAGGTGTGTGCAGCGTTTAATTTCGCGTGGAGAAGAGAGGGCGAACGTTAATAAAGAGAGTTGCGATCTCATTTCAATTACAAATCGATGTAATCATCATTAAGCCCAATAGTAGTGCGACGAAGAAGAGACGCTTTAATCTTCAAAGATTTCAGGTCTAATGAAAAATAAAAGTAATTAAACTTATGTTAATGAACTCTTTCTTCGACTGCTAAACCCTTCTCTGGCGCGACGTTAAAACTCACCCCCGAACAACTTATTCCCAGCGGACGGAAACTTAACCTGCTGCTGCGCGTTCACCCTCGCTCGGCACGCGAAATTAGCTCAACTTTTACTCGCGCAATAATTGGAAATTTAAATCTTCTTTGCTGCGCGATTTCACAGCCAATCTGATTGTCCCTTGATTCGCCAAAGCAACCCTTTAGTCGCGTATATAATCTGACGGTTAATTCTCTCTTTGCGAGGAGACTGATTTGCGGGAATCAATTTCGGTTTGGAGGAGGTCACAACCTACACAACCTACACGAGATTAGGTCCATTTAGGAAATTTCTCTGAACAGCTTAGCGTTCCGATTATAGCCCTAAATGACCTTATTTATCCGTTTCCAATCAGACAATCACATTCAATTTGGTAATAAACCTATGGTTTTGGACTCGCCAAATACAACACATTGATTTCTGCGCAGTAAATTGTAAATTGGCAAAACACTTTTTGTGTACAATAGCAAAACATTCACATTTTAAGGCACAAATAAAAAAAAATTAACTTATTATAATATTAAACAAGATAAACAAAAAGTAAACGTATGAAGCTGCTCGTTGCAAAGAAATGGTGAAAAAAAATAATGGCTAATGGACACCAAAAGGCGACCTGTGGTCTGCTGGTTCTTAAAAACCTAGGGTTTTCTCTTGTTGAAACTAAAACTAACAATAAATGCAAGGAATCGGGGTCAGTTGTCCTTTATTTTTTTTCCTTGCATCAAGGTTTCTCTGGATTTTTAATTTTAACAAAATTTTACTAGTTAATATTAAATATATTTTACTTGAAAATTAAGTAATACTTTTTTGCAACGATAATTTTAATATATTAAATTTATTAAAATTTATTTTTATCAATTTTTTAATTTGTAGTAACCTACAGGTTACAATAATTACGATATATATTTTTATGTGTGCCAAAAGTTTTAAATAATTTATTGAAAAAAACATAAATAACGTTGTTGATTAGGATTCTATGATGAATGATGGATCAAAAAATTATAGCTTACTTAAATGTGATCTTGTGACTTGCGAAATTCGAATAGTGTTGGTTTAAATCAGATTAAATTATGTTATTATTATTTGGTAGATTTTAAATTTCTCTTTCAATTTCAATCACGCAAAGTATAAGTTTTGCAGAACCATTTAATAGTACATGTAATTTACGATATTAAAATTATTAACCTACCTTGAGCATTCGAAGCGTTGAGGTTTTTAAACTCAAGACAGATTTAAAAAAATAATAATAATAAAAATATGAATCTGCTCGCCACAAATCATATAATAAAATGAATGGTAGTTAATTTCGCATTCCAATGATATTTGATATCAACTTGCTAGAGTGAAATTTCTTGTTCAATAGAGATTTCTTCAAAATTGTTCCAGACTGGAATGCTTTACCAGAAAATATTGAATGAAACAAAATATAAGAGAACAAAAAGTGTTCTGTGTCTTGACAATTAATAGCAATAATATTATATACAACATATAAAACATGCTTTATTATTAAAATTGTAGAAAAATCTTAGTCTAATGTAATTTGAATTATTTTCCTTTGACAGTCAAAATTATGAAATAATTCAAATTTACGCAGACTAGCAAATATGAATATTTCTGAATAAAAGTAAGGTTAAGGTCGACAGAAATTCTAAACCTCCGTGTTTCATTTTAAAACTGCGGAAGCACTAAAAGCGTCCTCTGAAACTTTTCAAAATCAAATTAAAGCTGCGACCGGAAAAAACACGTTGGAGCAAAAAATAAAAAAAAAATACAAAAGAGTAGCGAGTGTGTGTTGGCGAGCGGCGCATGGGAAACGCATTATCAGCCGGTGATAATCCCAGCTGACACTGACACACGAATAATCAAGTGAGAGAGAGAGAGACAGAGAGAGGCGACAGGGTGGGTTAATGAGATGCACGTACGGTGGCAGGCGCAGGGCACAGATTCGCATAAATAAATTCCGCGTGCCCAGCTAATGATTGCATTAACGAAGCCAGCAGCGACGGGGATGAGAGTTGGGCCGTCCGAGGCAAATCAGGCCCCGCTTTAATTAACTGCCGCAAACGCCGGTGACATTATATGCTGGAGAGAATTGGAGAATTAAAAAAGCGGGCAGGTATATATAAAGTAAAGAGCAGGGATTCGGAAAAGGGGTTTGATGGGGTGTTAGGGGGAGGGTCGGTCGCGCCCGAGAGAGAGTGAGAGAAAAGAGTTGAATACATGCACGGAGACTCTTCATTTTCTATTTTAAATCTTGTTTGCATATTGATGGGATGCTAAATATTCAGCATACAGCTCTGCATAAATTCATTTCATTACACCAAATATTGCCCCTCATGCATATTAATGATTTCATTATAAAGCCTTTTCAATGTATAATTTACTTTGGCTGACTCACACACACACTCTCTCTCTCTCACTCGTTCGCACTTTTCTCTCTATTTGGGAGGAAAAGGGCTGAAATGTTTATTGTCCTCCCTGCTGCTTTTTCTGCTTCGTTGTCATCGTCAGATCCGCGACGGATAAGTAGCTCGCGTGCATTTTTCAACTCGGCTGCACACATCTTGTAATTGGCGTCATGCTTTCAACGATGCCAATCGACGCGGCAAAGGACCAGAATGGAAAAGGGTGCGGGTGAAGCTGTCAACGCATTACAAGTTAACATTACTCGACGCGTGTAATATCAAAATAATTTTATTTTGGCACCGTTTCTTTTATTTATCATTAAGTAAAATACAAATAATTGATGCCGAAAACTTTATCAGACCTTTGCTGGGTGATATCCTTTTTGGTAATTTTTCTTTTTCCAATCTTTTCATGAATTCATAAGCAGATTAAATCGTTAAAACAAAACTTCATTTGAAAATAAATTATAAGCAAAATATTTGAATTATTAGGGATATTGGGAAGTCGCAAAATGGGGCATGTGTAGGCCCTGTTCAAGTAAAATCAAGTTGATTTCCCTGAAACATTGTGGAACAAAACGGCACCACCACAAGAAGTTTGCTAAAACTTGCGAAATCAAAAAGACCTCATCCACCGTTAAGAGCTTTATTGGTTAATACAATCAGTAAAATTTGATGATTTTATTAAAAATTTCACATAAAAATTTAATAAATTTAAATGTTACAAGTATATATTCTGACAATATTTCTGTATTTTCTTGTTAATTTTTAATTTAAAGTTGGAAAATTTATTTGTATTTTAAATAATTTTATTTTAAGCTCATTTAAGAGCCTAATAAATTCACACACAAATACACTGAAAATTCTAAATATCTCTCTTCAAAGATGAAATATAAAAAATATATATGTTTTTTTCGCAAATTTATTTTTTTTTTAAGACCGTTTAGTTGATATCAGCCCTATATTTCCAACAATATTAATTTAACAGCAACATTAAAATTACGTCGTGCACATCGGCTTTATAGCCATTGAGAGGCCTATATAAATTAAAATTATAAATATCTCGCTTCGGCGATGAAATATAACAATGATATATGTTTTTTTCGCAAATTTATTCTATTTTGAAGACCGTTTAGTTGATATCAGCCCAATATTTCCAACAATATTAATTTAACAGCAACCTTAAAATTACGTCTTGCACATCGGCTTTATAGCCATTGAGAGGCCTATATAAATTAAAATTATAAATATCTCGACTCGGCGATGAAATATAACAATAATATATGTTTTTTTCGCAAATTTATTCTATTTTGAAGACCGTGTAGTTGATAGCAGCCCAATATTTTCAACCTTACTAATTTTACAGCAACCTTAAAATTACGTCTTGCACATCAGCTTTATAGCCATTGAGAGGCCTATATAAATTAAAATTATAAATATCTCGACTCGGCGATGAAATATAACAATGATATATGTTTTTTTCGCAAATTTATTCTATTTTGAAGACCGTTTAGTTTATATCAGCCCAATATTTCCAACAATATTAATTTTACAGCAACCTTAAAATTACGTCTTGCACATCAGCTTTATAGCCATTGAGAGGCCTATATAAATTAAAATTATAAATATCTCGACTCGGCGATGAAATATAACAATAATATATGTTTTTTTCGCAAATTT